CCCCTCAAGAGAAACCCGTTTGCCCTTGCCACGCTGGACGTGACACCGGTTCGATTCACGGCCCGAGCTGAGCTGCCGCTGAGTTGCCAACAGGTGGCAGATGGCTCAGCTAAAAAAAAAAACAAAACGGTGAGGTGAGGGCTGCTGGCCGGGACAGGCCGACTTTGTGGGGTGGAGGGAGCGCCAGCCGGGCTCTGGGCAGGGACACCTGCGACCCCAGGAGGACTGGCCACACAGGGTCATTAATGGTCTTGGCCTTGCAGAACTTACTGGAAGAACAGAAAGGAAATGTTCATGTTGTAATGTACTAGAGAAAAGGCAAAGAAAAAGTACAGAAAGCAAACGTCAGAGAAAGTACAGAAAAGAACTAGGAAACGAGGTAAACAGGAAAAACACGATCAGATGGCAAAAGTAAGTCTTCCAGCGACAGCCACAACTCATGCTGATGGGCTAAATTAACGCGGTAAAGAGGATCAAACTGAATGAAAGAAACGAAATAAAACAGAGGAACAGAAGTCCAGCGAAGCGGCGGCGTGGCTACAAGACACGATCCTGAGCGCCGACGGCAGAGTCAGGATGGAAGCAGAGGCACTGGGAAAGGCAGGGGATGCCGGCAGGAGCAAGGCAGGCACAGCAACACAAGGCGACAAGCACTCGAGGGGCAGAGTGCCAGCCGCCCAGCCCTGCAACCGCCTGGGCACCCCCAGGAGTCGCCAGGCTGGAGCCTAGAAACCCCTTCCTGCTGCTGCGGCTCCCGTTTCGCCAATGAGAAGTGCTGACTGACAGGCTTAGAAGGAGGAAGGCTAGGGGAGCCGTCTGTCCGTCCCTCTCCCTCTCCCTCTGCTTACCGGTAGATAAACTAATACCACACTAAATGGAGCAAAGCACAAACGTTCTCTCAATCAATAAAATTCCAGCACTTTCCAGACACTCCTGCCAAATCACCTGCACTGAGGTGAGCGGCTGGAGCACTTCTGCACCTGGGTCCAAGCACCGACCTCCCGACACCTGGAAGGCCAGCGACGGCCTTCCCATCATCTGCCCTTCCATCCACTACCAGGACTTGACTCCTGCTGCTTAAAACACCTAATTCAACCCAACTGCCTGGGGTCCCAACTTCCAAACCGTTCTGAAAGTTGCCCTGCCAGCACGGCGTCTATACCCAACCACCCACACGAGAGGTGACAGGGTAGTGCCCGGACCGAGGAACAGGCTGCAAAACGCCTCTCAGGCCCTGACAGGTCAATCTTCTTAAAAGAGAATTTTAATATTAAATAGGCTTTATCTAATGGATATGTGCAACTTTGGAGTCCCCATAATGGGTGATCCATTCTTTCTGAGCACACATGGACAGACCAGGCATTAGGTCACAAAGATCGGGCACATTCCCCAAAGGAGAACCCATACAGAATATGTGTACACACGCGCGCACACACGCACACACAGATGCGCACGCACGCACACACAGACATGCGCACATGCAGACACGTGCACACACACATGAAGACACGCACATACATACACGCTGACATGCATGCACAGACACGTGTGCGTGCACACATACCACACATGCGCACACACATACACTATATGCAGTGAATGGAAAATAGAGCAAAGAAAAACAAAGACAGGAAAAAAAACCCAGATATAAACAAGAGGAACAAAAAGGGAAAATGGAGAATAAAGTGATGAAAAAACCAGAAGAGTGGCAGCGGTGACACAGTGGCGCAGGGGCCGGGGCCTGCAGGCTTCTCCAGTCACCATCTGGAAATCTGGGAAGGGGGTCAGTTCCCCTTCTGCCCCTGATCTGCTCACCACTGGCTGCTGCCCCTGCATCCCGTCTCCTTCCTTCCCAGGGCTTTGTCATCCGTCCATTCCTGTCATTATAAATTCTGTCCCTTGTTTCCTAAGCAAAACTGATGAGACACCTGCTTCCAACCTCAGGTTTATTCCTCGCAGAGCCAGGGGTGGGGGTGGGCCACTGCCGGGCAGAGAACCCCCTCCAGCTGAGGGAGGCTCTGCTCTGCAGACCAGGACAGCCTGGCACCTGCACGTGGCAGCTTCGATCAGGACCCCGCCAGTGGCTCACCTCCCAAGCTCAGCAGTGAGGCTCTCACAGACAGACAGCGGTTCACGTGGTCCTTATGCTGACGCTTGTAGATGAACTCATACTCAACAGGACCCTTGAGACGATGGACCACGTACTTGTACGGGATGTGCTCATCCAGGTGCTTCCTAGAAATGACGGTGCTGCCTTCCACGAGGAACCCGTGCTCACCTAAGTCCCTGGGGACAAACAGGGTACCGGCTGGTTAGCAGAAAACCCTCTCAGGAATTTTTGTTCTTCTCAAACACAGCATGGAGTGCAGACCTAGAGCCATAAATCAATGTGGACTAAGCAGATGCTTCCGGAACAGGGCACGGTTCCCAGACAGAACCTACAGAAAGCCGGCCATGCTGAAATGTGACAAACAAGTCAGCACGTTACAGGGAAGAGCCGACTGAAATATGCATTTTCCTAAAGCCTGAGGATGTCATCAGCTTGACAAAAATGATCGCTTCAATCCGATTCAAAGGCTGGACGTTCAGATGCACACGACGGTGGACACACTCACTTGGTGCAGTGCAGCTCGCAAACATCATGCTTCCATGCGGGCTCCCCAAGTGCTTCTCCACCCCTGACAAACACCTTGTGGTGGTTGGGGTCAAATTTGAAATCTTTGGAAATGATGGCATGGAAGTACACCGTGACTCCTTCCCCGGGGCTCAGAGGGCTGCAGGAAAGCCACAAAAGAAATGACAATGAGACCTAGCTCTGCCTACCATCTGCACACACTCACACACGCTCACACGCTCCTTGATCCTTGATCCTTGGTTTTGATTGCATTGACACGCACCCAGCAAAAATGCAAGAGCGCCCACACTTTGGACACATTGCCTGCTGTGGGCGTCCCCTGGTCTCGCCATTACTGTGGTGGGAAGGTGGGCACAGGGCGGGGACAATCTCTGCCCGTCTCCAAGGGCTGGGGCCATGAAGGAAGGAGGCTGGTGGGCACTCTGAAATGTGACAGCATCTCTCCTGAGTTCTGTAACAAGCCTAGGGACCACGTGATTGAGCCCTCAAACCAAGCCAGCAATTGGAACAGGTAGCCCTCCCCCGCCTACCTGCGGGCCGGTTCCTTTCCCCAGAAAAAGGTCAACAAGGAAGGCAGCCTGTGCGTGGGGTGGGGTGCGGACGGAGCCCGTGCTCGCGGGGCTGCTGTCCTTTCTGCCCCGTGCACACTGGCTGGGGTGCGCCCTACCTCTCCTTAGCGTCACATGCGCCAGCCTTCTGGTTTCTCTGGTCCTTCTCATTTTTCACAGCAGCTACGTCGCTTCTGTTATTCCCCTCTGGCTTTTTCGGGACCTCTGGCTTTTTCGGGACCTCTGGCTTGGCTTTCTTTCCAGTAATGGCTGTCTTGTCCTTGGTTTCAGCTTCCTGGAACAAATGAACAAACCCCAACCTCTAGGACCAGCCTCCAAGTTTGCCCCCGACAGTCGATGCTTCTCACAGCAGCCAGCACGGCCTTCCAGGGCCCCTCACCCCTCATGATTCCTGGGGTGCCCTGAGCAGCCAGCACACTCCGCCTCAGGGCCCGTGCACGTGCCATTCCCTCTGCCGGGGACACGTCCCCAGGTCTCCACATGGCCGGCCTCTCACCCCTGCAGGTCTCCTTGGAGAGGCCCTGCCGGGCCCCGTACCCACCACACCATGTCCAGCGCCCTCCAGCCCCTCGCACTCCTATCTCCAGGGCATGTCTCACACCTGACTGAGCTTTCTGTCGTTCTCCCCCCAGAACGTGAGTGCGTGGAGCCGGGAGCTGGGTCTCGCTCATGGCCGTACCCCTGCACCTAACGCAGATGCGGTGAATAACTTAGTGAAAGATGAGCTGGGGAAGGAACGGGGCCGAAAGGAGCCAACCGTAGGCAGACGGCAAGGACGCGGACACCTTCCCGGACCCCTCACCTGGCGGTGTTCTTGGGAAGCCGGGGCGCTTGCTGGTGGCTGTTTTGATTTCTGAGTCTTATTTTTAGCTTCTTTGTCAGCCCCCTTCCCTGGAATTGCTGGCTCAGCCGCAGCATCAGTTGCCTGGAAGAAACAAAGACCCCAAAACATCAGGGCCAAGATCACAAAACAGACAGGGAGACTACTCAGGGGCGTAAGGGTCGGCATGTGCCACCGGCCCAGTGACAGGGGTCAGCTGCTCGGGGTGAAGGGGCCGCCCCTTCCACAGGCCCCTTCCCAGGAACAAGTCCCCGAGGACGCCCTTACCAGACAGGGAGGTGACTCCAGGACCGCACTGACAGCAAGCCCTCAAGGGCACAGGGGACCAACCCTGGTCATCTCTGCCCCACAACTCACCCCCGAGGCAGGGGCCACGGGCTGCAGCCCATTCCTGGTCTCAGCGCGGCCCCCCTTCGACCCAGGCAGCAGGGGTGCCTGGGCATCTTTCTTCCCAGGACGACCGTCAGTGGCAGAGGCGGTCGGGCCGGCCCCCTCCTGGGGGAGGCTATTGCCCTGGGAGGGGTCGGGGGTGTCGTGGTCCTTCCCTTCCGGGGGGGTAGCTCCAGGAGTCCGATCCTGGGGGGCCAGGCTGCTCGGAGACGTGCCTCCCGTGGCTGCTTCAGCTCCTCCTGCAGTCTGACCCCGCAGAGACCCTCTGCGGCCAGCGCCCTCCAGCGGTGTGGAGTCCGTGCCCGGGGGCTGGCTCGGCTGACCACCCTGCTGAGCTGGGCTCTGGGGCAGGGCTGTGTCCTGCAGCCCAGCGCTTGCAAGTGAATTCAGACTACCGGGTGCGGAGGGGGCTGGGGACAAGGAATCCAGGCCTGCGGAAATGGAAGCGTTCCTGTTCTTTTTCTTTTTTCTTTTATTCCTTTTGCTCTAGACAGAAAAAGAGACACTCGTTTTACTTCTTAGGTTTACTCGGCTCTCGCCCATGTTTTCTTCCATTTCCTTTCAATTGCTCAAGAACATCAAGCTCAGCTGGACCAAGGCGCCAGACACCCGTCACACCTGCCTCGTCTTCATCTTGGGGAGAACGAGACTGAGACAGTGGACGGAGCTGAGAGCCGCGTGGCCGCGCAGCGCTGACAACGTCACACGCAGCCCCTGCTGATGGGACCTCCCTGTAAGATGGCTTTCAGACGTCGGACAGCGGATGTGGGCTTCCATATGTCACACGCTTATATTGTGTGTTGTGTCTATACAAAAACTGCAGTAAGGAAGGGGTGAGACGGAAACGCACAGTCTGAGTAGCATTCCCGCCTGCATGCAGGAGCACGGCGCCTCGGCCAGCAGGACCTGGCTCAAAGGCCCGTGTTCCCAACCTCGGAATCAGAAACGAAGCTTGTGAGAAGCAGGTGAGGCAGGACCATCTGAGGACCCCACGGGGACTCGATGCCCTGCCTCACGTGGGGACACTGCTCTGGAACGAGGACCCATCGGTTCAATACGTGCGAGTGGCCCGTATGCCCCATGAAGCCCGTCACCTCGCCCTGAGAGGTGAGTCACCTGGGAGGGGGGGGCGGAAGAACGTGGGGTGCATCTGCACATGGGGTGGGCGGCCTCGTTCTGGGTCGGCTCCTGGATTTCCGCCAAGAAGCCTGACTGAACCTCCTAGAGGCCAGCCCACAGTGACAAGCAAGGGTCACCCCCGGCCACCCGAGAGGACGATTTCTGGGCCTGATAATCAACACCCCTTAACATCATGACAGAAAGCGGCTCAAGAAAGTTCATATAAGGTGGTGACAATCTCCAACTTACACAGGCAGACAGATCTCTAGAGGTCATGCTAACACGCAGATGGTGACTCAGCACGTGGGGCGGTGGGGGACAGGGAGCGTGCGAGCCCCTCTAAGGGGGTCTCTAAGGAGGAGCCACCAGTCCCGGCCCCACTCTGAGAAGCAGGACCAGTGCAGCTCCCCGACTCTGAACTGACTGGTTTGGGGGGCCCAGGCACCAGCACCTCCATTCACTTTCCTGGTGGTCCCAACGCATAGCTTCAGCCGAGGACCACTGGTCGGACCAGCAGCAGGCTGCGTGTAAGACTGCGTGGCCCACAGCCCTTTGCACAATCTCTTTAGCACGAGGCAGCCTGAAATCAAGCTGCTTCAGCTCAACACTGATTTACAGAGGAATCTGGAACAAGAGATCACACATGCTCCTCCCTCGTGAAGCTAATAATTTAGTGGGGGAGACAGACTCAAAACAGAGACAGCCCCTCGCCTGGAGGGCTTCCTGGAGGAGACGACGCAGGCTCAGTCTGAAGGACGCTAAAGCCAGAGGGTTCAGCAAGACCGCTGGTCCTGTGCTGCCACAGCTTCCCTGCTCACCCAGAAAAGCTTAAGCGTGGTCCGAAGACCCCTGTGCAACTTGGCCCCACTAGCTGCCTGGCAGCCTCATCCCACCCTCATCCTCCCCTGGCCTCAGGTATTAATCCTGTATTTTAGTTTCTGTATTTAGGATGCGTTCTCATTTTAGGGGCCTTGCAGACTCTGGAGGGACTGCCCTCCCAGGGCTGGCTAATTCCTAGAGATAGCAGACAACTAGCCAGGGAGCCTTTCATACACAAACTAAGCAACCCACAGCCCTGCTTTGTCACGCCCCCCCCCCCGCGCCACGCCCCCACACACACACACACACATACGCTAAACGTGCATTTGCTTATTTCCTCTCCCTCCGGAATGGACGTCTGCCTGTCCTGTCCACAGCTGCACTCAGGATCTAGAGCAAGCCCTGGCCCAATGCAGACCAAACGTTTGTCCCTTTAGGTCAGCTCCTCTCCGCTGAGCTCTGGCTCCCCGCTGGGCACCGGACAGCTCACGCCCCCTCCACACGAGGCCGGCAGGGCCACGCCCTCAGCCCCGCCCTGTCTGCGCCCAGATCCTACCTCGGGGTTGGCCCCTTCTCCTTATCAACGTTTCTCCTCTTTACCTTGCTTTCGCTTTTCCTATTCCTACCCGATGTGCTTTCTGTAAGCTGCTTAAGACCTTCTCGAATAAGATTTGGATTTGCACAGGCAACGGACAGTTCTCAACATACATCTGTGGGGGCCGATGTGCGCCAGGCACCCTGCACACACCTAGCTGGGCCTGGCACACCGGGCACGCAGGGCTCGGGGATGAAACCTCAGCTTTTTCCTTGACAAAAATTGAGTGCGACTATGGTTTATATATGTAAGTTTTATACACATGTATTCCTCATTATACGCACACATGTTAAGATAGGATGAGACTGTAATGGTGGCGCGATATCCTCTATTTTGAGATGGACCTCTGGTATAATTTGACTTAACAAGTGTGATTTAACTTGGGATTTTTTGAAAGCTTTTCTGTCTCAGCTTCCTTTCCGCCAGGTTTCTGCTTCCTATACCTTTACTACGCAGACCAGTTTCAATGTGTCTATTTATTTTGGCCCAGTGCTGGCCCTGTGACTTGGGAGAGGTTTTGCATCTGTATGGGACCCACTCCAGGCTCCAACTTAAATCTACACAACTTACGCACCTTCCCACACCCCCAACTACAAGCCAAAGCAATTTACACCCTGATTAGAAAATATAAAACTTGAGTCTGAATAGACTCCACCCAGCAGTTTGCAGTCGTCTCCAGCAGACTGCCCAGCAGACCTTCCTTACTTTAATAATAATCTTCCTGGGCCGGCCGAGTGGCGCGATGGTTAAGAACTCGCTTGGGATGCCAGAGGGCCCCGGTTCGGATCCCACATATGAGGGCCAG